TGAGGAAGGGTTATTCCTTTCTTTCCATTACTTTTCTCCTGCTGCCTTGCCTCCCAAACGTGGGTGGAATCTTCGTGTCAGGCGCTAGCGACATCAGCCTGGCCCAGTGGCTTTTCTTAATGGCAAGAATGAGATTAAATGCAATTAACATCGATTGAGCAAAAACTGCCCTGGGTTTGTATGTGGATTAATTAACGCTCATCCTTTCAGCAGCAGCCCTTTGCAGAGCTGTGTTTGTTCCTCTTGGCCCCACTCTTTTCTAGCACATGTCCAAAATCAAAAGCACTGAGCTTGTTTCCTACTGTGATGTCTGGGGTTACCAGCTCAGCAGGGAGATGCAGCCCCCCAACCAGGATGATTTTTTTGTGCAGTCTGCTGACTGCAGAGCTGCTCAGTCAGTGGCAAAATATTTCCTGTTAAGCAAGGCTAATGACGGGAGCTCTCTGCAAGTTAGAACAATGATCAGAACAACTGTCTGGAGGAAATCAATGTTATAATGCATGAACAAACAGGTGAGTCTCAGAACAGCTGGAGATTAGCTGTGCTGCTGGTAAATAACTTTGCATTCGGGTGATGCAGAGCAAGGGGGAGGTGTCGAGGCAGAGCAAAGCAAGCAGTGGCTCTTGTGAGCCAAAGGAGAGGGAGGAGGAAACCAGAAAGACTCTTTCTGTTCCTAGCACTGTGTTGGTGGGGTATGTAGACCAGGAGACTTCCATGTGAAAGCACTTTCTGGGGTGTTCTGACAAAGCATCTGGTGAGTTTTCTGAAAAGCGTCTTTTCTGCTGTCAAGCCAACTTTGAAGACACCATCTGGGGACGTAGCCAAGAAGTCATTGGGTGAACTTGCCTGCTTTGCAAAACTATTAACACCAGTACAGAGAAGAGGGAAAACAAAACTCTCTTCATAGCTTTTTGAATTAATGTTTTTTGTTGTTGCCAGGCATGCTGCTGGCCCTCCTTATTCCAGTCCCAAGGACAGCAACTGTTGGACTCCTGAAGGATGAGAGAGACAGAGAGGCTTTTCTGTGCAATAACTATATGGCACAGAAGTGCTGTGATCCATTAGTCAGCACAGCTGCTCCACAAAATAGCCAATACTCTGAGTGTAACAGAACAAATTGCACATAACCAAAAAATACCTACAGCATACATCAAACCAAAGTGACTCAAATGTCCCTTGCAGTGCTTTGGGGTGCTAATAGCCCTGCAACAAATGCCTCATCCAGTGTAAAGGCCTTGAACACCCATCTCAGGGCAGGTCAGGATTTTTGTATTTTGTTTGTGCCTCTTTCCACACTAACTGAGATGAAAAAGTTGTGTGGTCACGTTGCTGAGGTCTTCTGTGTGCCAACAGGTATTGTGATGTTGAGAGCTGCCTGCACACAGCAGGCGACTAGGAACTATGGAGATTAATTTCTACTTTGTCACTGACACTCCAAATGTACCAAGTCATTTATCATGGGGATCTGCTTTCTGATTTCTTCATAGCTGCACAGTGCCCATATGTGTGAGTGCTGTGGTGCAACTGCTTAAAGGGATGTTAAAACAAAGGCAGGGCACGTGGTGCAGGGAACTTGCAGGGTTTACCCTGTGAGACTAACGCTGGTTAAATAAATATGCCTTAACACAGCTGAGGCTTGGCAAACAGTGTCTCTGGCCAACAGTGAAGGAGGAAGTTCTTCAGGGTCTGGCTTTTCAAGGAGGGAGATTCCTTTGTTGGCTGAGAGCCTCCAGCAAGGCCCAGAGCCGAGGCACAGAGCTGGCCAGCACTGAGGGAGGTGGAGAGGATGCTGCAGATCCACCAGGCAGCCCCGAGCTCCTGCACTGGGAACAAGGAACAGGACAGAGGAACAGGTGCATTAGAAAATCTTGCTGAAGCTTGCTCGCCCCAGTGCTGGGTCCCAGGGCCTCAGCTCTGTTAGAGGACAAGGACTGTGTTGGGCATTGACTGGACTCCCTTCTCAGCAGGGGTGAGATTTGTGGAGCAGATCTACTTGCAGAGCTCAGCCCTTTCTCCTCACTCAACTGGACCCAGAACTGGAGAGCTACTGGTTTCCCACAGGGGCTGCAAGGTGGCAGGCTGTGTTAGCTAAGCAGCCCATTTTGACTGCAGTTATCTCCTGAGCAGGGTGCCACAGTGGTGGAAGGACATGAGTTAGTGGCTCAAAGGTCCCATTTGCTGTGAGAGGCATGGAAGAAAACAAGTGCTGTGTGCCCTCCAGCTGGACTTGCTGTCAGGACTGAACAGATTACCATCCCTGTTTGTGCTGATGAGGAATTTGCCTTTGCATGGACACTGTTTTCATATGTAGAGGTGCTGGGCTGGAGCTCATCAAGACTGGAACCTGGTCTCTACCTTGATTGCCTTGGCAGTGGCATTAAGAATAACCTGCCCTCCCTATGCAAGAAGGGCTCTGTTCCCTTATCAGACTGAGGGTGTGGTGCACTCTCCAAGGCTGTTCATCTCTGACTTCTTGTTCTGCTAAGACTGCAGCAGAGACCAGCTAAAGCCAGCTGTGGGGCAGTCATTTTTTGAGGAGGCACCAAAACTTTTCAGTCTGAGCCTCAAGTCCATTAACTGGGAGTATCCTGTCTGGTGAGAACAGTGATTGCAAAGCCTGGACTTGTTGCCTGTTCGCCGTGTCTGGTGCATATGCAATGATAAGGGCATGGAGAAGAGGTAAAGCTTCTCCTTCCCTTTCCTGGCTCCTTCTGCTTGAGGTAAGTGCTATAGCAACCTGTTAGCATCTTGCAGGGAGGATTCCAGGCTGGAAGAAAATGAAAGGGTGCCAAGTCTGCACTGGCATGGCTCCAAAATTAGGTGGGCAAAGAGTGGGTTTAGTCTCAGAGATAGGGTGTACCTCAGCCCATCAGTTCTGGGTCCAGGCTCACTGTGCAAAGGATTTTGAGAAGGTTTAGTCATCCACAGTGAGATGGAACCTGATGTTTTTGCACAAGGAGTGTTTGTGAGCCTCCAGCTCAATGCATACCTGGTATGTGGGTAGGTTAGGGTGGAAAGCATTCATTGGGGTTAAGAACTGGCTGTTTTCATTTTTTCCTGAAATAAGTTAAAATATCATAGAATCATATAATGGTTTAGTCTGGAAGGGACCTTAAAGATGATCTACTTCCAGCCCCCTGCCATGGGTAGAAACACCTGCAACTAGAAGAGGTTGGAATATGTAGTTATGATTTTGAACATGAAATTGTGTAACTCTGATATTCTTCAAAATTGTTTAAAAAGAGAGGTTTTACTGTCTTCCAGAAGGGTTAACCGCAGAGTAGGCACAGAAGTGATTTTGGTTTGTTTTCTTTTTTTCACAAAATGTAGCATTCCTGGACACTTTACTGAAGTGTTACAATGTGAATACAGCAAATTACTTCATTGCAAAATTGATCGTGAGTTGTTACTGCTTCATTCATTGCAATTTCAGTGAGTGCTATTGGAGTTTTTAAAATATATTGCTCTGTGCATAACTTTTAAGTCACTAATGATGAGAAAAATTACCTGGGAAATTAGAGTCAGTGGAGTATTATTGATGGTTCATTTGTCAGATTTCTGCATAACCTTTGTCTAAATAATTTGGTGTACAATTTTCTCTTTATTCTTGAGTTCTTTGAAGCTTTTCCAGTTCATTGTTGTCAGAGATGGGGCTGTCTTTGGAAATTCAAGGCCAGCATTTTCAGTCTGCGTTGGCCATGTGTCAGCCAATATCAGCCTGCTGTGCAGAAGCAGCCCAAATGACATCCTCACCTTCTGACAGACAGTGCCAAGCGTGCTAGCATCATTATTTTGTGATGTTTTCCATTCTGATTCACACTGAAGAAAGCTCAGCTCCTCTCCTCAGAAAGGCAAATATCTGGAGAGTAGAACTGAGCTCAAATACAGCCCTAATAAAAACGGGCCATGAGACTGTATGCAGTGAGGTGCTCATTTATCTTTCTCTAGTTGGCTTTAGCTGGGTCATCTTAACATGGATCAGCACTGTCTGCTCTCCCAAAAAAAGGGACCTGCACATATCCACAGCATGAAAAAGAAGTAGCCTGTTGGTGGGCTTACCCTCTGATCCTGCTGTTCCTGAGCACTGACACAACCCTGCCACTGCTGCTGCAGGAGAGCTGATTGCCCACATTGGGATCCAGCGCTGATTTCTCAAATCCTCAGAGGGAGAGGTGCTACAGCTGGTGTCATGTGTGTTCTCATGCACTGCTGATGGCATTGTTGATTTCTTTGACTTGATTGATGCCATAAGATAAAAATAGGAAGAGACCACAGCAGACTTTGCAATCTCCATCCTAAAAACTTCCTAATTTGAAGCTTTCTGTCTTACAATAACCTTCAGAAGTTCACAGCTCATATGCAGATACCTGCAGGATCTGAGGAGGTACTGCTTGGAAGGTTTCTGTGGGGACAAAGCAGACGTGATTTTGCTTTGAATTTTGGGAAGGCTTGGATCTTAATAGAATAAAGACTGTCAGATATGTCAGGAGTTAGGGTGGTCTCTGGGTCCCCATCTTTCTTCTTCTCACTTCTCTGGTGGTCTTATATTGATCCTGTTCCAGGATGAGAGAATGGGGAGCATATGTGTGTGTGTGTGTGTGTGTGTTTGGTGGCAACTAATCAAAATGCTCCTGTGTCCTCCTGTGCTGAGGCAGGACTTAGTGTGGGGTTGCACTTACTCACTGCTCCAAGGCTTACCTGGAGCCACAGCTGTTCTGTCCCACTATAGGCCAGTGGATTTACAATCCTGATTGTTGCAACTGACCATGTGCTCTTGATCACAGACTCAGCCTTTTGTTTGGTATCATGAGCTGCTTTCTTGCTTCCACACTCCTCTCCCCTTGAATATCTTGTGTTTTACAGTAGGTGAAAGCTGAAGGTTTTTCTGAGGGATTTTCACCCTGCTAGTGCTACTCTTTCATTTCTGATGTTAACATTCCCATGTCAAGAGCTGTATAACTAACTTACTGCCTTTTCCTTTTGTCTCCTTTTTTCTCCAGGAGCTGTTGGTTAATTCTGGATAAACATCATCTGCCAAAGAGCAGAGGACAGGGACCATGGACACCCTTGGAAGCTCCAGCATCCTTCTGGACAGACACTGACCAAAACCAGTGCCTTCTGCCCTCCATCTCCAAGACAATACAACATGATTCCTCTTCTAATGCCTGCATGTATCAGTCTCAGTGGATGTTCCTGGGGGTGGGAGAAGGGTTCCAGGAGCAGGGGATGCTATAGTTTCTTTTCATTGTTTTGCAATGTAAAGAATTGTGTTGGCCCCAGGTGCTTCCAGCATAGCTCGTAGCTTAGGGTCTTGCTCCAACACAAGCCTGGTTCATCCAGCTCTAACTTCAGTTTCTCCAACCTACATGTGAGTTTCAGGAGCTGTTGCATCTGTTTGCTCTGGAGAAAGAGGTCCCAAGTATTTGGAAGTAACCCTGAGTAGCTTGTTAGGATTAACTGTTCCTAGCATGCTCCCATTGGTTACACCAGCAGGCACATTCCTTCCCTTCCAGGGTTCCCTCCTAAACAATAAAGTATTTAACAGTCACTGTGTGCTGTGAGATATTTCAGTCCCATGAGTTTGTCAACTGCTGTTTTCTGCCTATTGCCAATGCCAACAAAAACTCCAAATGAGTGTGAAGAATAGCAGTATTTCAAGTCACAGTTTATAAATCACAAAACTTGTTCATTTTGGTCCCAGGATGACTGTCTTATTTGAAAGTACTTGGTTACAAAGTCCTGGCTGAAGGGAACTGGTAGTGTGGAATCATACTGGAAAAACCTTTGTCTGCTGGCTGCAGAGCCCAAATTTTCTTTCTTTTCACAAGCTCTTGTGTGCAGTTCCTGCTGTGTCTGCCATAAACCACTGTCCCTTTCATCCTTGTGCTCTGTGTTGAGCCCTCTCCTTGCTGTATGAGGAATGGAGGATGCTGGATGCCTCTGGAATCTTATTCTCCTAGAGGTAGGTGTGGCAGAATTGCAAAAGGCCTGTCAGCAAACCAGGGGAGCAGGTCTGGTTTGGTAACCTGATTCCTTTTCTCTGGGTACAGCTTCTCTGTCTGGCAGCATTAGCTTCCTCTGTCCTCCCTGACTGTATCTGACAGTTTTTGAAGAATGTGAACATGGATTTTTGGAGGTCGTGTCAGAGTTTAATGCAGTGTTTATGAAAATGGATGAGGGGGGCTGAGAATTGTTTTCTGTGTTATATTCTGCTTCGTCTCTTTTTTCTTTAGACAGCAGCTTAGTGCTTTACATCTCCATTAAAGCAACAAAATGCCTTTCCTTCTTATTGAGAGCTGATGCCACAACACTTTTCATCCTCAGAAGTGATGTTTGCTTACGCATGGCTTATCTCCGTTAGTCTCAGATCTTGCAAAAATTCCAGCTCTGCATCTTTGTGTAGGTCAAAATTGCTGTCCCTAAGGGAGGAAGAGCAAGTTTTCCAAAACAGAGTAGGACAATTAGTGCCCTCAGATCTGTTGGAGCAGGACTGGGTGGGCTTTTGCTGCTGCTGCCATGCCAGTTTTTGGATCTGCTTGGGATAGCCACAGAACTTGTGACTCTGCAGGCAGAGATTTAGAGCACCAAGGTCTGTCCCTGACTAGGTTTGAAATTATTGTTGGTCTGAAGAGAAAAGTATCTATTTTGTCTCTTCCTCATTTTCCTCTTGCCCCTGTCCAGCATTGCCTTGCATGAGTAATTTGCATGTTATTATTTCAGTTGCCCTAAACTGGGGGGGACTGTGATGCCAGGGCTGATTATTTGGCGGCGCTGGGCAATTTTCTCTGTTAGGCAACTGTAATACATTTTCATGTTCTTTTATAATGAGCTTTATTTACCAAATTGGCAATTCCTCTGTTGAGAAATAACTGATTACAGCATTCAGGGAGTTGCTGTCATCTCAAGATACACAGGTGTCTGTGGAACATAAACAGATGTGATCATTCAGACAGTGAACTCGATGGGGGTAGGGGGGGAATCAGCCATAAAATCATAAATGGAACAGCCGCAGCTATTGTTGGCCAGGTGCACTGCTGCTGTGTGCAGCCCAACAAGGACAAAGTGGCACTCAAAGGCCATCCAGTACCTCCAGATGAGGGACTGCTTGATTGTTAGCTGAAAATACACCTCTTACCTGTCACTGCACTTCAATACTGGCTTGCCTAGCTCTGTCTCCAAAAGTTTCTGAGGACATACATTCATTTGTGGCATAGCCTTGAAGTGAGAAACTCCTCTGTCCTGCTGTGTTGGGTTTGATTTTAGCTTACTCTGTGCTAAATGTCTACAAACTTGTTGGTGATCATGTCTGTGGGGACTGTGGCCCCATCTGCCTTTCAGGCAGTCCTTTTCCTTTGGTGTTTCCTAGTGCCCAGAGGCAATTTTGTTGCTGCTGTTGCCCTAATCACCAGCTCAGACACCTGAGCCTGGGGGAAAATACAATCACCAGGGATGTCAATAGGAGACTGCTGAGGATGAAGTTCAGTTGCAGAGTCTCAGCTTCTATCCAAGTAAAAAATGTGCAGGTAACAGAGCTTCTTGAGTGAATGCTTTCTCTTCCCCCTCATCTTTGCTGCTCCTGTAGTACCAAGGCCCTTAAAAAGAAGGAAGAAGCCCTGCACCTTCTCCTAGGCTCCTTGTTTTTCCTTGACTCCTCGTGGGATATTCAGAGCAATTTTGTTTCTGTGCAAGATGGTGACAGCAGGTGTCAGTTATGCTCCAGAGTGGCAGAGATCATTATTCCTGAGCCTGGTGTCCAGTGTTGAATGGATGTCCTTTCCACACCACTACCACCACAGCTGGCACTAATGGAGAACAGGGACAGCAGGATAAACAAGGTCTGAATCCATTGTGGAAGCTGAATTAGAGGCAGTTTCCTCCAAAGGCAACTTTGGGGTGGGGTAGAGCCGGCCATCATGCTGCTGTCTGTGCTGCATAAAAAGCAGCTCTTTTGTGGCCAGGAATACCTGTTTCACCAACTAAAACCAAACCTTCCTGTGGCCAGGTGCAGCACAGTGCTGCCTTCAGCTGAGCAGTGCATGTCCATTTTGCTTGCTTGCTTATTGCAGTTCTCTGCAAGCTGGGTAATTTTGTGTACAAATGCATCCGGTGATTTGGATGCAATGCACACAATTGGGGTAATTTCATGTGAAAATACAGCTTGCAGAGTGCCTGCTTTAAGAGTATGAATTGTTTTAAAACTTGCCAGATGAATGGAAAGAACAACCTTTTTATTCATGCATAATTTCTTAGCATTGCAGGAAGGGAAAAGAACAAAACCAGAGAAGTTAGAGAAGATACAGGAAATAACAGAACTGATAAAAAATTTCCAGTGGGCCTCAGTAGCTCTGTAAATGAAACATTCAACAAGCAGCACTTTGAGATTCCAGTGTGCGAGAACATCACCGGCACTCCAAGCACCAAATTTGTGATCTTGCATAAAAACTCAGCCCGTTGCCTCCTGCTGTTAATATTTCACACTTGGCTTTGCAAGATGCTTTATCTAATATCCTCTCTGCATTTAGGCAGCTACCTTCTCTGCCTTGTCCATAACAGGGGAGGCAGGAGGAGGAAGGCAATTGCCAAGTCTGTCTGTAATCTATGTAGGAGGGTTTTGTGTAGCTGTAGGGGGACAAGAGTAAGTCTCATTTCCTATTTTATAGTCTGCTGAGTCCTGTGATCTCATGCTGTGTGCTCCTTTTCCAAGCAGAATTTTTCAATTTGTCTTTCAAGTTCTTGTTATTTTTTATTTCCAAACTGGTTAAAAGTGTTTGTCTGTAACTTGTTGATAAATCGTTTGTGTCTGACTCCCTCAGGTGCTTCATTGCCTTGTATGTGTCTCCAGTCTTGTATGTGTCTCCAGACCACCTTTTTCTTGTCTTGTCTTGTGCTCCCCCAGTGGGCTGTTATCATCCCTTTTTTGGAACCCCTGGGAGCCTGAAGGGCTGTTCAGGGTCCTGTGACATGTAACCCCACACCTGCTCCCATTCATGTGGGTTTTATCCTTGTCCAAAGCTGGATGTGATATTCCTGAGCTGACTCACCTGCCTTGCCAGCCCTATCACTCTGCTCTTGGTGTGTGTTGGATTCTCCTCACTTTCCCTGTTCTTGATTCCTTGGGGGAGTGAAGGTTGGTGTGGCCTGGAGTGATTGGGCTGTATCACCTTTGAGCTGGGGCTGTTCAGGCCAGTCATGCTGCCCCTCCATCTCCCACTCCATTGTGGAATTGTGCTGGCATAATGGTGGTTTTGCAGCCTGGGGCAAAGCCAGAGGAAGCAAATGGAGCAGCCAGTGGTCTCAGGAGAGCTCCCAGTCAAAAGTGTGTCTTGAATTTAATGACACGTGTGCTCTTTCAGACTTTTTGTAGAGGTCAGAGCATGGCAGGGAACTTTCCTCTGTCATCTTCCTAGGGAGAGCAGCACACAAACTTTTCTTTCCAAGTTGAAATCAATTGTTCCCTCAGGGCTATGTAACAAACTGCTCCTGTAGCTGATTTCCCCTTGTGAATGGCCTAAATTAGATGCTCTCCCTGGTTGCCCTCATTGGAATAGCTTGTGCTTTATCCAGCCATTTCGTTTGTGCCATTTGCTACGAGATGTTGATAGCACTTGTCTGGTTCCTGCTGCCCTGTGTTGTTCTGTATGGGAGCTATTGCATGGCAGGCCTGCTGTCCCAGGGAGTGCAGGAGAAGAGGCAGCAGGGACTTGGAATCTCAATTTGATTCCTACTTTGCATCTTCCTTTGTTTTCAGAAAGTCTGTTTAAAAATAATTTCTGGTGTCTTTGGAGCAGGTTTGCTAGTTGACATTAATTGAAACAAAGCCCTTAGGCTTACTTGGATCTTTTTGAGGAGTTAGAATCTATTCACCTCCTTATGGATCCCTGAGAGTTTAGTTTCAAAATCCTTTTTGAATGCTGAGTTGATATCGGGGTAACAGCTGCAGGGTAAATTGTCTTCATTCCCATCTAGTGCTAACATTTTTGGCAAACTGGTGCATGCAGTTCAGTCCTGTACACTTCCTACTGCCTGCTCTACAGAATTAAAAAAACAAGTTACCTTCAGTGTTTAAGACCAGAAAACAATTTGGAGTCACCCAAAACCTCCATCTGTGCCTTCTGCATGTGCATCTGTACATGAGCAGCTCTGCTGGAGTCTCTGGGTGGGCATCTCCTCCTTGCCAGTGGGACAGAGCTTTTGTGATATTTAGCCCTTGAACAGTCTGAGTTAATCTCTCTAATGGCCACCAGTGGAGGGCATGAGTGCCACTCCCTCAGGAGGAATGAAAAGGATGTTATTTTTTCCCTTCTGTGACCTCTTGAACATCCCACTGTACCCATTTTCTTGGTGGTGGAGTCCACCATCATAGTGAGTTTGATTTTTATTTTCTGCGAGTGGGGAGTGCCACTGTAAGTCAGGATTAGCTAAACATAACATTAAAAATAAAGCACGGCTATTAATTTAATGGCTTCCTCGTTACAACCATCATAAAACAAGTAAACAGGAACTCTGCCAGTGCTGCCTGCAGTCCTCCTCCAAGTGGCTGAACCAAGG